CCTAAAAAACAAAGACAAACAATACAACAGATGTGAATTATTTTGGGGGGATAAATAAAATATCTGTGAGTTTCTTCCGGTGATTCAGTTTCTGTTCAGAACTAAATTATAGACTCTTATTCTGGGATGTCACAGTTTGACCGTTGACATCCAGCTGGAGATGGAAGTCGACAGCTGACGGAGAGTTGGTGTCAGCTGACGACGCTGAGCTTTCTGCTGCGATCGTCCGACCGACAACATCCTCCAACATGGACAACACCAGCAACCTGTTCAACCCCAGGTATGACTTGAAAATCTAGATTTTTATTCTTATACAGTCTTTATTTTATCACAAAGCCATTTTGAACTGATATTAATCAAGATAATCCAGATTCCTGCAGAGGATTTTTAAAGGATTCATTCCACAGTGAATCCTGTTGAGAGCATGTGAGTCGTCTAAGATGTTTATGATTTTCACTGTCATTCTTCATTAGACATCGTTCCCAGGATCTTTTTTTAATTTAAACCTCCACAGCTGCAGATATGGTTCCTCTTTGTGCCCAAATTATTTACTTTTTATTGCATTCTTCCAGATTGTTTGAGTGAGTATAGTAACTTTATTTTATTATTTTCATGGAAAAAAAAGAAAGAAACGTGTTTATTAAACTTTACTTATAAAAACAAAGCTGAGTCTGTATCATGCAATGTTTTCTTTTGAATGATTCTTTATAAACTAAAATATGATCTGGCAAAATGTTTCTTGATTTTTTCATTTGGTTTCAATAATAAACATCACGGTTTAATGTGTGTGAACGTGGTGTCACTCAGGTTGTGGGGATCAAAATCTGATTACACACAAATATTATGGAGACACAGAGTAAAGACATGTAGTAAGGTTCAACATGATGTGTGTGTGTGTGTGAGAGAGTTATTTATAGCAGGAGACCTGACTGCAGCTGTTGTATCTCTTTACATTTCAACAGTTGATTTAGCAGCTGCTGCTTGTTGTGTGTGTGTGTGTGTGTGTG